AAGATATAGCGTCCGGGGTCTTAAAGGCTTGAAGACAAACAAGCGGCCATCTAGCTGAGAAGCATCAAAGCCCATATGGAAGAAGCACACGAGTATGTGTGACCATGAGCTGTCAAAGGGATCAGGTATCAGGCATCAAGGAACAAGAAATCATGTCATTGTAAAGGTGGGTGAGTGCACAGTGGAGACTCAAGAGTTCATCGGTTGGCAACTGAACAACCTCCTGCTGAGGGGTTGTGGGGAGGAGATAAGCTAATCAGGGTGCAGGGTAGTAACGATGAAACATAACTTTCCTCTAGTTCATAAATGCTTCCTCTCCCCCAATATCATGATCCCAATTCTGCCTTGCAAATCTGGCTAGACCAGAGGATGTACATTGGTACAGAGGGCAACTTGAAACACAGGGAATCCAGGACCAGTGGTGAGAGGGGCGAGGCCTGGAGGGTGAAGGGAACGTGGGGTAGAAGGGGGAACCAATTACAAGAATCTAAGTATAGCCTCCTCCCTGGGGGAGGGACAGCAGAGAAGAGGGCGGAGGGAGACGTTGGACAGTGTAACTTATGACAAAACTATGATAATGTATGAATTATGAAGGGTTCATGAGGGAGGGGGAGGGGAGAGGGAGGGGAAAATGAGCAAATGATATTAAGGGCTAAAATAGAGGGAAAATGTTTTGAGATTGATGAGGGCAACAAATGTACATATGTGCTTGACTCGATGGATGTATGGACTGTGATAAGAATTGTACGAGCCCTCAATAAAATAATAAAAAAGAATTTAAAATATTAATGGAAAATGCATTAAAGAAATCTGACAATAAGCATAAAACTGTTATTGAAGGTAACTTCATATTGCTTCTTAGTTGGTGCCTCCACTCATGATGTTTTCACTTTCATCTGCGCATCATTGGCAGTGTGATTTCTCCATTGACCGTCTTTTCAAGGTAGAAGGATCCCATTCTTCTTCTCTGAACCTAATACGCTTTTACCATATCTCCTCTTAACATTTCCAGCAATAGTATCTACACAATTCAGGCAGTAACCTATCCATCCTAAGTCTTCAAAATATTCACTGTTTTCATTATTAGTGGTAGTATTTGGAATGCTGAGCTTCCCTGTTAAATCTACCTTAAAAAGAAGGACAAGGACCTTCCAAGGATCCCCTGAGAAAAATGCCCATTCTCGAAATTTAACATTTTCACCACCTACTTTTTATTTAAACAAAATAAAATAAACAAAGCTGTTTTAACAAATAAACGTCAAAAATGTCAGTGCTTAATACTACAAAGGAGTATTCTTTCTCATGTCCACATCCAATACTAGTCGGTTGCCGTCTCTCCCCAAAGTGGTGACTAGGGAACACAGGCAGATTCTACCGAGAGATGTATTTTTAAAGACCAGGCTTAGCAAATGTGGCGAAGAAAGCTGTTGGTGCCCGGCTATCAAAAGATATAGCATCTGGGGTCTTAAAGGCTTGAAGGTAAACAAGCAGCCATCTAGCTCAGAAGCAACAAAGACCACATGGAAGCAGCACGCCAACCTGTGCGATCACAAGGTATCGAAGGGATCAGGTATCAGGCATCATCAGAAAAAAAATCATATCATTATGAATGAGGGGGGCAGGGCGGAGTGGAGACCCAAAGCCCATTTGTAGGCCACTGGACATCCCCTTACAGAAGGGTCTCGGGGAGGAGATGAGCCAGTCAGGGTGCGATGTAGCAACGATGAAAAATACAACTTTCCTCTAGTTCCTAAATGCTTCCTCCACCCCCACTATCATGATCCCAATTCTACCTTACAAATCTGGCCAGACCAGAGGATGTACACTGGTACAGATAGGAACTGGAAACACAAGGAATACAGGGCAGATGATCCCTTCAGGACCAGTGGTGTGAGTGGTGCTACTGGGAGGGTGGAGGGAGGGTAGTTTGGAAAAGGGGAACTAATTACAAGGATCTACATATAACTTCCTCCCTGGGGGACGGACAACAGAAAAGTGGGTGAAGGGAGACACAGACACGGCAAGATATGACAAAATAATAATTTGGAAATTATCAAGGGTTCATGAGGGAGGGGCGAGTGGGGAGGGAGGGAAAAAAAAATGAGGAGCTGATGCCCAGGGACTTGGGTGGAGAGCAGATGTTTTGAGAATGATGAGGGCAATGAATGTGCAAATGTGCTTTTGCACAATTGATGTATGTATGGATTGTGATAAGAGTTGTATGGGCCCCTAATAAAATGATCAAAAAATAAATTTAAAAAAACAGACTTAGCAATGACTTACACCTTGTGGTTTACACTCACTGCTCCTAGTTCTAGAATAAGTTTTACTCCTCTCATAGAAGATAGCTCTTCAAATGAGCCCTGTCTTCTCCCACACAATTATCTATGTAGCATGTATTGGGGCCTTCACTATCTGGGTGGTTCTCTTCTGAATATACTAGTTGACTTACATCCCTGCCTCCCAAATTGATGACAAGCGTAGTAGTCTGACAAACCTAATCTGAGTGGTATAATCGCCTCCTTTATTCTATAGAAATGTCATCATTAATACAGCCTAAGATCACATTCTTTGTATGTGTGTGTGATATTGAGCTTAACCACCATTGAAATAGACATGGGTTTTGTTCCCTCTTGTCAATGATTATTCGTCTCTTTTCAATCTAACTAGGAATTGTCATGAGGAAAAGAAAAATCCAGAGGAATACATGAGTGGAGGAGATGTGCTTGCTCTATCCATCTATTCATATCACCCATCCCGTCTTAGACTGACTCTTCCATTCACCTTGTTGCAGGTACCACATCTGTGTGACTGTGCTGATCTACTTCCTCCCCCTGCTGGTGATCGGTTATGCATACACTGTAGTGGGAATCACCCTGTGGGCCAGCGAGATCCCAGGAGACTCCTCGGACCGATACCAGGAGCAAGTCTCTGCCAAGCGCAAGGTAAGCAGGGCCAGGCAGCATATAACCCCCGACCCCCCTCTCATCCAGCAGGGAGTTATGCATGTCCGAGTCCCAGCAACATGAGGTACAAAGCAGGCCCCCCGGGGGCAGAGGACCGCAGGGAAGAAAGGGAAAGGGAGGAGAGGCAGAGGAAAGAGGACAGGGGAGGAGAGAAGAAGGGAAGGGAAGAGACTATCTCTGTAACCTGATGTGAGGGCACAGCCATGCACTTCCATTCTCCCTCCCCAAGAGGAACTGCCACGAGTCAGTCATTAAGACACACGCATGCTCACATACACACACACAGTCATTGCGTTGCCCAAGCACTACAGAGTCATACAGTCCTCCGTGTTTTTTATTTAACTTTGCCCTAAACGATACATTCACATCATTCCAACATTAACCGGTACGAAAAGGGTCAAAGCCACAATGATGGAGAACACAGCAGAGATTGCCGGGATGGGGAAACAGGGTTCGCTGTGGGGAGTATCGTTGAGGTGGTGGAGCAGCTCTGGACTCGGATTGAGGAGCTGTGTTCACTTATCTACATATACAGGTGAGGACAATACAAGCCAGATCTACAGGAGTAGTCGGACAGTGCCTAACAACAGCAATCACACACACACACACACACACACACACACACACACTCACTTCCTCAGTGGGTGGCACAGTGGACTGCATGCTGGACTAATAACCATAAGGTTAGGAGATCAAACCAACCAAAACTTTCCTCATGAATAAACAAAGGTGGAGGCTTTCTGCTCCCATCACACTTTGCCACCTCAGAGCCCCACAGGGGCAGCTCTGCTCCATCCTCCGGAGTCACTGCACCGGAAGTGTGTGCGTAATGCACCCCAACAGATCCATGCATGAAAAAAAAATACTGGCACCATCCAAGACCACATCTGCAGTTTATTGAATGCAGTGAATTTTCACAATGTTATGTACGACACTATCATTGCCGGAGGCTGAGTAACGTTTCCTGGGAACTCTCTGTCCTATTGTGCACTTTCTTGGGGCTCTTAAATTATTTCAAGACTTACCATGAAACGCCCCTGGTGTGTGCATATGCACACACACACAGAACCAGTATTTGTTTCTTGTTTAATATTTTTCTTTTTCTAAAATTGTTCCATCATTTGTTCTTGTTGAAATTTTAATACACTTGTAAGCCCAGTAACGATTTGTTCTTTCCCCCTCTCCTCTTTCACACAAATGACAATGCATCCTGCCCTTCACACCTCACAATAGCCACGAGTCCTCAACACGCCATCCATACAGCGATGCCTTTTCAATTTGTTACTGCACACTATTTCATTACATTGATGTTACGTAATCCTTTCCAGAAGATTTCTTGGAAAGAACGGGAGGGCGCTACATCACCTGCTCTTCATAAAACATTCTTGGAAATATCCTTCTGAATCTCTGCCCTTCTCCTTCCTGCCTCACAGGCCCCTCCTCCTCTTCCTCCTCCTGCTGCCCTTTTCCTCATTCCTGAGCACGCATTCACCTGTTCCCATTACTTGGCTCAGTACCAGTTCTTGGCCATCAGGAGAACACTGCACCAGAAGCATCTTGTCCAAACACAGAATGCTGGGACTTCCTGCCAACGTTTCTGATTCAGTCAGTTTAGGGTAGAGCCCAAGAATTTGCATTTCTAACAACTTCAGAGTGACGATGATGCTTGTCCTTGGATCCGTCTCTGAGAATCAAGGCCCTTTGCCACTGCAGATAAAAGGTCCTTCCTCCTCCTTGGCAAGAGCCTTCCCCCCTCACACCACCTCATGCACAGTAGGGGATGGGAGAAGACAGAAGCAGCCAGGAGAGAGGATGTCTCACCTGTCTCACCCTCTTGCCAGGTGGTCAAGATGATGATAGTAGTTGTATGCACCTTTGCCATCTGTTGGCTGCCCTTCCACATCTTCTTCCTCCTGCCCTACATCAACCCGGACCTCTACCTGGAGAAGTTCATTCAGCAGGTCTACCTGGCCATCATGTGGCTGGCCATGAGCTCCACCATGTACAATCCCATCATCTACTGCTGCCTCAATGACAGGTAAGAACATCATCGCCTCCCCTCTCTCCAGGGACCACAAGACCATCTGCACAAGCCGCAAATAGCTGACCTAAATGAGAACAGCTGACTGTGAGACAAGAGGGAGTAGTGGGGACTGTGCCTAACAAATTGCTGTGCCATTCAGTGCTTGCTCGTTGTTGCCAAGCAACAAGCCCAAGGTGACCAGGTTTCTGTCTTTTTCAAGAGGAACCAAAAGTTCACATTTTTCGTGTAAAAACTTCCCATTTTGGAATGCTGGCAACTAAGCATGCCTACAAGACTTAGATCTAGTTCATGGCCTGTGAGTTTAGTTTACTCAGTCTTCATACACAAGGGACCGTGCATATTGACAGAGAGAAAGAGAGGGGCTTGCTATGGACAGAGAGATGGAAAAGAGACAGAGAATGATGTGTCCAAAAGCAGAGTCAGCCCTACGTGGGGCGGAAAGAGACTCCCCCAGAGAGCATCTATCTCACTTTTCTTTTCTCTTCCCAAATTCAAGCTTCATAAAATGTCTAGTTTAAAACCAGAATGGAGTAAACAGAAAAGAACCAAGGGGTTAAAGATATGACCCCTGCCTTTTCTTTGCCAGAGGGGTCGGGGAGAGCCCTCCCTCAGCAGAAGCCAACCTCAGACAAGCAAGAAAAGGGAGACAGACAAGCACATCCCGAGGGATGTGTTCAGCAATAAAGAATCCACCTTGACATGCAGAGGGTCCTCCAGAGAGAGGTGGGACGCCATGCCCGGGACACAGCCCATTCATGCAGAGCAGGACAGATGCCTCTGCGGGGGAGGACGTGGGAGCGGCAAAGGTGGAAACAAAGTGCTGGCTGCCAGCTTTGTATCCATTGCTCATCAGTCTATGGAGTGTCTTCTACGAATGTGACACTCGGGCACCATGAATGTCAGGCAAGACGTTTTCTTGAACTTGTCCACATGGTCTCTGTTCATCTAAATTACAGATTTCTTCTTTTCCTGAGTGCCTGATGACCCTTTGGAGGTCAAGTCCCCTTAGCATATCTGGAATTAAGAGTCGAGTCTACCTGCTGTAGGCAGTGCAGCTGAGGCATGCCCCAAGGCGCTGGCTGGCATAAAAACGTCCTTCAGTGGGAACTGCTGCAGGAAAAGGACTGAGGGTGTTTTGTGTGGTTTTGTGGGGTGCGGGTGAACACGAACAGAGCAAGGTCGTTGGTCACTCAGCCCTGTGTTGTACACGTTGCTTCCTAAACTTAGCTGCAATTCCCTCCATGCAGCGGCATTCTTCCGGATGCCTCCGTGGGTCCCTCCTGTCTGTTTGTCCGCTGGTGCGGATTTTATAAGTCTGTCTGTTGCTTGGCTGCAAGGTGAACCCCAGGGGTGGGTCCAGCTGCAGATTGGGGGGTGTCTAAGGGCTCCTCCTAGCTCTCTCAACCCGTGTGTGTCTTGTCTTTGTGTGTGTGCGTGATTTTTAAATTTTGTTCTACATTTTTCTTTCCTCGGATTTTGTCTGGGATAATCCGTGATTCTTATCAGGGCTGGGAGTTCTTCTGGGTTTGGGGTACTAGAGTCTGGGGTTGAGATGGTCCACGCAACCTGCTGACCTGTTTCCGTGAGGCTTCGCCCCTCTTCACTCACCTGTCCTCCAGACGGGCATAACTGCAGCTTCGATGGCTTTTCAAATGGCAGTCCCACTTGGCAGAGTGGAGCGTAGAGCATTGTGCAGAACTCTGCCTTTGGGGGCTGTGTTACCCCAGTCGACTTCTCTCTCAATTTAGTGACTCAGCCCCTCCACTGTTTGGTTATGGCTACAAAGTTTTCAAATGCTTGCCTCCTCCTAAATGCATGGATGTACTTGGAGCACAGACAGACATATTGTATCTGTCCCTATTCTCCCACCCATACCTGTTCAGTTTGCAGGCCTGCCTATCTAGCCACTCACAGATACGTGTTCATAGACTATTGCTGGTTATTACTGATAGGGTAGGATGTAAAGTGTTTACTGCCCGGTGACTGGCACAGTACCCTGCATACGGAAAATACTGGATGAATGCCGGCTGGTGTTAGATTAAGTACAATTCTGTGGACCAGCATCGCCGGCATCTGCCCTCTGTAAAGGTAGCCATTGGGCAGTGCTATAGGCCTGGATTTGACCTTGATTTCATCTTTAAATATTTTTCACCTTCACATCTCGATCTGTCAACGAATTCAAAATCCAACAATCAAGTCACAGTTGGGTTCACTGGGGCGTTCAACAGTGGATGCCATACTGGGGTGTCCCCTGAAAGTGAGCCTCCCCCAGTCACTCCGTCTGCTTCTTCTCCAGGTTCCGTCTGGGGTTCAAGCACGCCTTCCGGTGCTGCCCCTTCATCAGCGCCGGGGACTATGAGGGACTCGAAATGAAATCGACCCGGTACCTCCAGACGCAGGGCAGCGTATACAAAGTCAGTCGGCTCGAGACCACGGTCTCCACGGTGGTGGGTGCCCACGAGGAAGAGCCGGAGGATGGCCCCAAGACCACGCCTTCATCCCTCGACCTGACCTCCAATGGCTCCTCCCGCAGCGACTCCAAGACCACGGCAGAAAGCTTCAGCTTCTACTCCAGCATGCTTTCCTAGGCACGAAGCTGTCCCCAGGTGCCACCCACACACCCCCTGCCCCCAGCCATCTTTGTCTTGCTTCGCATCATGCATTGGTATTGCCTCAATCGGAAGGCCAGCGGAAACGCCCTAATAATGGGACCTGTGGAAGGGCCGGACTGCTTTAGCTAAAAGCATTCCATCCTGGAGTCCAAAACAAACTCCTCCCATCTTTTCCACCCACCCCCACCCCCGCTCTCCGCCTTCCGAAAATCATCACCCTTACAATGATGAGAGTGTAAAGGATGAGTGCGTTGGGCTGAATTTTCTCCAGAGTCCATTCCATGATTCTACAAGTGACTTAGGCTGCAGGTGAGCCCTCGTTCAGAATGAACCCTGCAATTTTCAACCCATCCCATGGACCTGTGTCGCTGTAGTCCTTGCCTTACCTTGACAAAGTCATGGCCAGGCATGCTCTGATGGCCATGGCTTTTCCTGGTGGCTCGCTTCACACCATGCGTCACACTTCACTGGGTGAGCAAAAACGGAGCCCCATCAAATCTGAATGAAAGAATGAGCCTTGACTCTAGGCATCCACGAAAAGAAGACATCCTTGCCTGCCTCCTTTTTAGCATCTCAGTATTTCCTATGTCGAAGCATTAGGAGTCCGAATCGACTGGAAGACAATGGGCTTGGTTTGTGGGGAGGAGGGACGTGATGGGAGTGAGAGCCTCTGAACCTTCTGCTTCCTCTTCCTCCTGATCTTTCTGAGCGACTGACAGAGCATAGAGCCCGAATGTCTGTTACAGACGCCCCCTCGGGAGCCGGGGGCTTCGCTTCAGCAGTCGGAAAAATGGGGCTGAACTAGGTCATCTAAATATCCTTCTGAATTTTAATATTCAATGATTCGATAATGGCATGATTTTGGTTTGCTTGTTTCTTTTAAAAAACAAAAAGGGTGGTTCAAAAACGAATAGGAGCCACAAGTCCAGTGATTAATGCCCAGCTCCTGGAGATGTAGCAACTGCTACGAAAGCATGTAAATAACCACAGCCATTGTTCTTGCTGAATCACCCTAAAATGGTGAATGCATTTTGTTAGGGCATGCTGCAAATCTGAGTGGTCATGCCAAGCTCCACACTAGGCTCCCAGTCCCTATACGGGGCTGTGGCTGGCCTCTGCGGTTGAAGATGGTATCAGAGAAGACAAATGGGAGCCTCCTTCTCTGGCTGTCTTAGGGCAGGGGCACTAACTCAGATTCTTAAGCGGCATGCGCTCCATTGCCCAATGAGTTACTGAGCACTCATTGCCCAATAAATGTGGTACTGCAGCAATATTTATGGGAAAGGGGGCCCTGGCATCTACCCTTCAGACTGAACCATGATTTCCTGAGCTCCTTGATGGGGTGGAATGACTCACCAGCCCCACACGACAATACGTTTACCCAGACCAGGCACTGAATGCTTCAGGTCCTTCTACAGCTTTGGGGTTTCTAGAAGGCAAACATGCAGTTGCTTTGGGTTTCCCAGATGTGCGCTTTGTCCAAATGTGGCCAGAAGCAGAAGCATCCTATGACATCTTCCTCATGGTTTGCGCATGTCCTATGTCCATCTTGTAGAGGGGAGAACAACTCTACCCACAGGGTTTATAGCCGTTCCAGGCTCTACTGGCTCTCACCTCCTTGGAGCACTGGGAGCAGCTGTATGACAGCAGTGTAAACCTGAAAATCCCGTGAGAAATATTCTGCACAGGAATTAAATAAAGCCAGTGTAAAGCAGCTATAGGAATGGACACATAGATTAGGAAGACAAAATCTTTGTGCAAAGCAGTAGTCCTACTTCCAGTAGAGAAGAATTCCATGTCTATATTATTTACTTCAGGAGAAGTGCCTAAGGAGAAAGTGTCAAGGAACGGGGGACAGTCTGTCTACAGAAGGACAGCCAGGCTTGAATTCAGGACTGATTAAGCACCTGCTCTGGGCTACACCCCGAGCTGTGGACACACAATTCCTTCCACTCCGGAGGAGCCTGCAGGACTTGCCGTTGCCTGGCAAACTCACCACTCCTGGTGCAGAAATGGAGGCAACTGAGAAGCAGGTTCTCTACAGCATTCTAAAAACCACACCCAACATGGGTGATCAAGCCAAGAGGCTAAAGCTTTCACGCAGTCTTTGGCAAGGAAATCCCAGGATGCTTCCAAAAGAGCCACCAGTCAGCCCAGGAGCCCTACAGTGGGGTGGGTGAGCACCAGCACTGCTCCGTATTCCTAGGTCCTGGACCGCTTCCAATGTGATGACACTTCACCTCAGAGAGAGCCCAGCAGGCTCCAACTCAGCCCTCGGTGGGCACTTAACTTTAAGACAATCTTGTCAGCTCCCGTGTGTGAAAAACACCATGATTTGCACTGTGCATGGGTCTCATTCCTATTATAGAAATGTATCACCCCATGTGTTTATCTCATAAGTGTGTTCCTTGATGTGTGTCCAATAGTAATAGACTATACGACATCATGGGGCCATCTTTTTTAATGTTACTTCCCAAATGTGAGATCCAGTGGCTGTCGGTGTGTGATGTAGATTGTGCCCACCTTCTCCTTCTCGGACCACCTTTCCCATAGACTCGCTGTAATTGGGACCGCAGTCATCAAGGGACTGGGAGAGGGACATCTGTGGGAAGAGCTCAAGGGCCAGGGTCCTTGTCCTCTTCCCCTCCCACGAGCAGGCTAAGAAATGATGAACGTCGTTTCTTAAGAAGGACTGAGTGAAATCCTGGGGAAGCGGGACTCAGGAGCAGACCTGTTGAGCTAGCTTTTGGGAGAAGAGTCCAAGTGAAACCAGGTAGCTCCCAGGGTCTCTAGGATTTCCAGCCTGGGATTTTTAAAGAATGTCTAACAGAAATAAACGATGTGTTTGACCAGCACATGCCTGTGTCTCATTTCTAGGGAATCCAACCACACAATAGGGGTTGCCTTAAGTGGCACTAATCACTCACTGTTAATTCTGACTCGTGAGATCTCATGTGTTCCACCGTGTTTTCAGTAGCTGGTGTTTTAGACGTTGATAACTTGACCTCTGTTTTTTATAAGATACCTCTGGATGGACTCAGCTGTCCAACCTTTCAATTAGCAGCAGAACAGGTATAGAAACCTTCAATATTTTGCATGACCAATAACATTGAACCCAACATCTAGCAAACTCCTCTCTATGGTGAAGTGGGTTGATAACATTTGGAAAATGTTTCTCAGTTGAGACCTGAGAAGTTACAGGGGATTGTGTACAGTAACCAACAATGTCACCCATGAATTGAGAGCCGTATCTGTTCAGATCCTTCAAGAAGCAGACACCTGGACAGAGCTGGAATATGAAAGATTATTGGAGGAAACACCTACAAAACAAAAAAGGGAGAGGGAGCACCAATAGACAGATAGACCGCAATACAGATCTGACACCTGGTACAAAGAGGGAGGGGAGGAGGCAGGGCTGGGCAGGAAGAGCCTCAAAACTGCACTCACCCTCACTCAGGGCTATCTACTCAATTCTGACCCAAAGGGACCCTACAAGACAGGATAGAACTGCCCTTGTGGGTTTCTGAGACTGTAACTCTCTACAGGAGTAGAAAGCTTCATCTTTCTCCTGTGGAGCCTGTGGTGGTTTCAAACTGCTGACCTTGCAGTTAGTAGCCCAATGCATGACCACTATGCCAACAAGGTTCCTCTCAAACTGTACTATGTCACAGAAAGTCTGATCCAGCCTAGCATCCACATTTGTCCACATTTTCAAACAGGGTCAGGCTGGTGTCCCTACCACTTCCCTCGCTGCCTGGGAACTCTGGAGAGACCAGTCTCTGAAACAATGTGGTAGAGTCTGAAGATCCCACAGCTAGAAGCTCTCAGCTAAATACAGCCCTCCCAGCGGGAAGCTCTCTCTGGAAGAGATCTGAGTCATGCACCTTCAAGACCGCTACCAGAGCATGTCTAGTGGCCTGCATTTGAAAAAGCATGTCAGAAAACCCTGGGAGGAATGTATACTTTCAGAAGTAGTCCTCTCTGAATGACGGTGGCAACCGTCCTCCCACTCCTCTGTACCACTCTATATCGCCTGAACCCTCCGTGGCTAGCTAGAGATGAAGGAGCAAATAAATGAGGAGCTGAAAGCAGTTATGAATGAGCAGACCTGCAAAGACAAAGATTGTAACGGCATTTAAAGGGGGAGTTCTGAGGAAACAACACAGACCGCTATCCAACACACTGAAGATCTGAAGCAAATAACAAATATATTTTAAATGTAAATGAAGACATCTTAAACTAGGGTACCTGAATCAGCTTCAAGAAACTGTAAAATCAAATAGTGTGTGTGTGTAAGAGGGTGGGATTAAATTTGAATCTCTCCAAAAGAAATAGTTCACTTTCTGCTCTCCCGAAGAAGAGCAAAATGAAGCTGCATTGAGGAGCAAAGCGAGGAGCCTGGAGACCTTCAGACTGCAGAGAGAGGCAGACGAGCCTCAGGAGAACCAGAAGCCAAACGAGCTGCCGGGAAATTGGAAACAGCTTTGAATTAAAATCCCAATTTTTCTCAAGCACCCAGATGAGTTATAACTATATATTGACATGAAAGGTGTTTGTGGCAATGCAAACACTAAATTCATGATTAAGGAGTATCCTCAATCCTTTCAATGGAAATATGAGCATTTATTGACTGAGGAAAGACTGTGCCTTAGGCATAGGTTCACAAATATTACCAGATGTGGAATACAAACATTCCTGTAGCAATACAAAAATAGTTGGCACTATTGTTGGGACACGGAAAGCCATCCTACACTGTGAAGGTGCAGATTTGGGGAGCGGTAGCTGGCTATGAAAATGTTATCCCTTTGGCTGCCTCAAATCTTTTACTAAATAGAGTGCGAGTGCATGTTCCACTGGCTTCAAAGATTTTAATGCAGTGGGTTAAGTTGGGTGCTCCAGGGAAGCAACACCAATTATATATGTGTGTTTGTGTGTATGTGTATATAGAGAATGAAATTCATCTCAAGGAAATGCCTCATGCAGTGGTAGACTGGTAAATCTCCAGGATGTGGGTCAAGCACCAGGCTGGAGATTTCTCCTGCCTTGTATAGTTACAAGAGCTGAGAAATACCAAGATCAGAAGGGAAGGTGGCAGGCTGCAGACTCATGGGCTGCAGAGGCTAAGAAGTACCAAGACTGGAGGTCAGATGGTGACAAGCAGGATACAGAATCCAGGGCAGGCAAGCGAACTTTGTTGGCTGCAGACTACGCTCCAGGTGCCAAAGCACACATATTAGACTGTTCTTTTTTTTTAATTTATCATTTTATTGGCGGCTCTTACAGCTCTTATAACATTCCATACATCAATTATATGAAGCATATTTGTCTATATGTTGCCATCATCATACATATTAGACTGTTCTTGATGTGATACCCCAACTGTCTTCCCCACTTAGCAGAGCACACACAATAACAGAAAAGATTTCCATAAAGTTTTGATTTATTTTAAAAATACGCCAAGTGTTCTCCTCTCTAATGGATGACCTTGGCTTTTAGGTCATGAAGATCCAAATACAAGCCTTTATCTCTGCTCTCCTTTTCTACTGCTGATTCTTAATCCTCCCAGATCAAGCGTCAGTCCCTCACAAGACCCACTAGGCAGTGGTCACCCACCCCTCTGCCCAGGCCACTCCTGTAGCTGTTCTGCTCTCTGCTTCCCTCTGGAGAGCCTCAGACAAATGAGCTAAAACAAACAGACACGTGATCCACAGCAAAAAAACAAACTTATCGCCATCAAGTTGATTCCAACTCATAGTCGCCCTATATAGAGTTTCCAATACCATAAATCTTTCCAGAGGCATTCAGCCTCATATTTCTCCATCAGAACAATTGGTGGGTTTGATCTGCCCACCTTGTGGTTAGCAGCCCAAGACTTATCTCACAGTGACCCAAACACACACACACACTGCCATCAAGTAAATACTGACTCATAGTGACCCTGTAGGTCATAGTAAGTTCCTGAGACTACAAGAGTAGATAACCTCATTTTTTTCTCAAGGAGCAGCTTGTGGTTTCAAACTGCTGACCCTGTGGTTAGCAGCCCATCATGTAACCAGTATGCCACCAGGGCTCCTTTACAAAAATGCAGATAAGGGTTGCATACAGGCAAAGTTTCAAACTCTGACGGTGGATGAAGCCCTCTTTCTGACGTGGCCAGGAACAATGCTTTGAACATGCTTTGCCTGTGCCTGGGCAGTATATGGTATTGGGATTCACAGAAAGAAAGGCACACATCTGAATATAACAGAGCCTGGAAATAGTCACATGGGATTATCTACTTAAATCACTTATTATGGATTTAATTGTGTATGTGTGTGTGTTTATATTTGTGTGTATATATCATATATAGTGTATATATTAATACATATTGCATATATATTAATTGTGTGTATGTTAAATATTATATTTATACATATAATATTATTACTATACAATTAACTACTAATATTTCTGTTATTGATTGTTTTATATTTAAATATATTTAGTTTATGTTGTATATTCATAATATAAACATATAATCATTAAATGTTAATTATTATGTTATTAATTTCTATAAATGAAAGCCATAGCAAGTGATTAAAGTCATAACCATGTGTGGGTATTTCCAGTTCTGCATATAAATATATATGCAATTGAAATTATATATGTGTGCATATATATACAACACATACACATAATTAAACCCTTAGCAAGTGATTAAATATATACATATATCTCCTAATACCTTTTAGTAATGGGTCTTTGGAGATGTTATCAGTGAACATTAGACTATCCTAATCCGATATGGTTTTGTTGCTGTTAGTTGAGTTGATCCTATCTCACAATCCCCTCTGAGTGGTGTCCTTATAAAGGTGGAGAGACACACAGGGAATTTGACCATGTGAAAATGGAAGTGGAGATGGTCAGGAGGAGGGCTGAAAATCAAAGAACACCCGAGACTGCTGGGAGCCACACCAACCTAGGGAAGAACCTCTGATTTCCCCTCAAAGTCCTCAAAAGGAAACAACGTTATTGGTACCTTGATTTCAAGTTTCTGCCCTCCACGAACTTTGAGACAAGAAACATTTGTTCTTTAACCCACCCAGTTTCTGGTAGTTTGTATGGCCGCCCTAGGAAGCTCATATCTCACTAGGGCCTTTCCCACCAGGAAGACTACAAATATGTGTATGAGAACTGGCCGTGGAGATCAGAGGGGAAGTACACACCCACCTTGCCGCCTCCTCTCTGATCTGTTGTTTCCACTTTCCTGGGTCAATCCGAATGTTCCAGTGGGAGGTGTCGTAAAGGGACAGAGCTGTGGCTGGGGATCTGCAGAGTGGAGGCGTGGGCTCCTGGCCGCCCACGCAGAGATTGCTGCACAAGGGCATTGCTCTCATGAAACAATAAAATGCTTTGTTCCTTCTGCTGCTGTTGCTGCCACCAGGTGGCTGCACAAACTCGTGGCCCCATACCTATGGGGCAGGAGCCCTTTATTTTTCATCCGAGGCTTTAGATTTAGCAGGGCCAATCTTGGCACCGATCTATACTGATCGTTGACCTGGGACTGGATACCACTGATCAAAAGGATCAAGTCTCACCGTCTTCCTAAAATTACCAGAAGACTGTTCATACATCATTTGTAGATGTTCATTGCAAGATTAGGTCCTATGTCTTCTAGTGAACCAGGTAGGAATCTCCCAAAGGATGATTAGGGTGGGCAAAATTGGAGGCCCTGCAATGTTGGTGGCATTCTGGGAGACATCTCTCACTGCCCTTGGCTCAAGGTACCATGACTTGAGCACGGCATGAGTCTGTCAGTGCCTGATAAAAAATATATAAAGATCAAGGGAAATAGAGGAAAGAGCTGGGAGGAAAA